TTAATATTTTTTTATAGCGATTATATATAATTTATTTTAAAACATCTTTTTCTGAGTTCTCTTCCTTAGCATACAGAAATCAGATTTATTTTTGTATGTTAATCTTGCATCTTGCCACATTGCCAAATATTTCTATTGTGTTAAACAATCTTATTGACAAGTCGTTGGGATTTTCTACATATAAAATCATGTCCTGTGCAAATAATGAGAGTTTCACTTCTTCTTTGCCCATTTGAATTCTTCTGATTTTTGTTGTTGTTGTTGTCTAATGGTTTAGGATAAGACTTCCAGCACAATTTTGATAATGAAGGTGATAGGAGGCATTTAATCTGGTTCCTGTTCTAAGGGGAAAATCCTCTCAGTTTTTTTTCCATTGAGCAAGGTGTTAGACATTTCTTTTAATGTATGGCCTTTATTATGCTAAGAAAAGTCCTTTGTATGCGTTTTTTGTTGAATATTTTTTTCAGGAATGGGTGTTGGATATTGTGAAATGTCTTCTCTGCATTTATTGATATGATTGTGTCATTATTATTTTTTGTTTGTTTATGTAGTGGATTATATTGCTTCTTTTCTAATATTGAACCATCCTTGTGTACCTGATATGAATCCTACTTGATCAGAGTGTATTATTATTTTTATACTGTTGTATTTTATATTGTAGTATTATATATATTGTTGGGTTTTATTGGCCAGGATTTAGATGCGAATTTTAGCATTTATGTTCATACAAGATACTGGTATGAAGTTTTCTAGCTTTATGGTGCTTTGGCCTGGCTTTGGCATCAGGGTTATGCTCACTTTATAAAATGAGTTTGTTGTCCTCTATATTCTGAAATAGTCTACGTGGAATTAGTGACAATTTTTCTCTTAGTACTTGGCAGAATTCCCTTATGAAGCCACATGTTCCTGACTTTTTCTTGGTTGGAAGTTTTATAATGGCCTGCACCCTTTTTTCTGCTTCTTTTTAAAAATAATAGATCTGTTGAAATTTACTACATCAGTCTGAGTTAATTTTGGTAGTTGGTGTATTTCTAGAAATTTGTTCAGTTCATCTATGTTTTCAAGCTTGTTGGAGCAGTCTCATAGCAGTGTGTTATTTTTTATTGCATATGGTTCTCTTGTGATGTTCAACTTTAATTCTAGTTATTCACAACTTCTCTTTCTTTTCTTTTGTTACGCTTGCTAGTAGTTTGTCAATTTTTTAAATCCTCTTAAACAACCACTTCTTGCCTTTTAAACTTTTTCTCATCTTTCCAATTTATTTATTTTTGCTTTAATCCTGTGTTGTTGGTTGGAGGTTTATTCTTTTGCTCATGTTCTAGTTATTGGAGATGTTATGTTAAGACATTGATTTTGGTGTTCTTATTTTTCACACGGGCATTGACTGATACAAATTGCCCTCTGATAACTGCTTTTGTTATGTCTTAAAGGTTTTAGTATGTTGTGTTCTTGTATCATTTATTTCAAGGAATTTTAAAATTTCATCTTTCAGTTGATTTATTAAATAGTCATTTTTAAGTAGTATGTTGTTTAATTTCCGTGCAATTCATTTTTTGGCACTTAGTCTTTCTGTTATTGAATTCTAGTTTTATAGAGTTGTAGTCTGAGAAAATAGGATGTAAGATTGCAATGTTAAAATTTATTAAGGTTTGCTTTGTGGCTTAACATATGGTCTGTGCTGAAGAATCTATCTTGTGTGCTGAAGAAATGTATAGTCTGTTGTTGGGTGAAATCCTCGATTTGGTTCACTGTGCTATTTAATTCTGTGGCTACTGAGTTATTTTCTTGACATTAGTGTATGAAGTTTTCTATAATTATAGCCAAGTAGTCTATTTATGTCTTTACCTCTGTGAAAGTTTGATGATTTGCTTAATGCATTTTGAGGTTCTTTCACTGGAGGCATATATGTTTAATATGGTTATGTCTTCTTGTTCTATTATTCCTTTAATCATTATGTAGTGTCCTTTTTTGTATGGCATAATTTTTTTTGGCCTGAAGTCTATTTAATAAGATTAATATTGCTACTCCTGCTTTTTGTTACTGAATTACCTTGGTAAATGTTTCTCCTTCCATGTATTTTCAGTCAATTTTTATCTTTGTGTTAAAGATGTTTCTCTTGTAGGCATCGTATTGATAGTTCCAGCTTTGTAGTTCAGTTTGCTACTCTCTTTCTCTTGACTGGTTCATTTACTGACATTCAATGTCATTGACAGGTGTGAGTTTGTTGTGTGAATTTGTTGCTGTCATTTTTGCTGTGTTTTTGTTTTTGTGGTTTAATTTGTTTAATTATTCTTCCTCTATTTCTGTGTTGTTCTGAGTACTGTCTTCATTAGTTTCTGGGTGTTGTTGATTTCTATGTTGCTCTCGTGTTTGTTGATACTGTTGTTGATTTCCTGTCCAATGTGTTCCTGTAAGTATTTTTTGTAATGTTGATCCTGTTTTTACAAATCTCTCTTGTATTAGAGAGTTTTGTAGGATATAGGATTCTTGGTGAGCATTACTTTTTGTTCAGAATTTGGTATATGTCACTCCACTGTCTTCTTGCTTGCAGTTTCTCCTGAAATGTTCAAAATTATTCTTATTTGTTTACCTTTGTAGGTGACTGTTCTTTTATTCTTAGTTATTCTTCTTTTCTTTAGTATTGGGGAATATGACTACTATATGTCATGATATCTTTATATTTGGGTCTACCTGTTTGGGGTTCTCTCAGCTTATTTTACAATTATTTTCTCCTCTTGAGAAGTTTTCTTTCGTGATTTCCTATACTACTTCTCTATCTATCTATATCTATCTATCTATCTATCTATCTATCTATCTATCTATCTATCTATATATGTATATATATCTGGTTTGTTTCTTGCTCCAATATCTCAGTGAGATTTAGGTTGCTCCTCTTGATAGTTCCTCACTTTATTTTTAGACTTCAGATTTCTTGGTATTTTTAAATGTTGATTATATCTCTCTTTGGTTGTAAGCAGAATAATTTTCTTCAAGTTCACTAAATCACTTTTCTTTTCTTTGATTCTATTAGTCACTTCTTTTACCATGTTGTCTAATAATGTTATTTTATTGCTTATTTTCTGGAATATACTTGGTGTAGGATTATTGTTTTTAAGTTCTATCCTTTATCTGTTAAGTTATCTAAACATAATTCTCTTGAATTAGATCTGGATTTTACAGGACCTCTCCTCAGAGGACTCCTTGGGTCAGTTTTTTTTTTTTAGATGTTTGTGGCTTTTAAAATTTATTTATTTATATTGAAATTGTCCACTGTTTCCATGGCATAGTGGGGCAGCTATTTGTTTTGGGTGGGTTGCTGGGGTATGGATTGGCAGCTGACTATTGCCAGGTTGCTAGTATGAACTGAGCTTTCCTTGACTGGGTGCATGTGTGACTGAGGCTTTCTTGCTGGGTGACTGGGACATCTAGAGCCTTCCTTGCTGGGCACTGAGGACAGCTCGGACCTTCCTTGTCTTGGGACGGTGGGGATCTCCTTACTGGGTTATGGGTACACTTGGGGCCTTCCCTACTGGGGAGCAGGAATGAAAAGAGCCTAATATATAAAGGTGAAAGTATACCCAGGACTTTTTTGCCAGATTGTTGCAATGACTGGGGCCTTCCTTGCTGGGGATTCAGAGACAACTGAGACTTTCTTTGCTCAGGGTGGGGAGAGCAGAGGCCTTCCTTATAGGGCTACAGGGGTGGCCAGGGCCTACCTCATCAGGGACAGCTGGGGTTTTCCTTCATGGAATATAGCTAGAGCTTTCCTTCCTGAGACATAGGCTTGCCTGGTGCCTTCCTTGCCAGGAGTGGCTATTGCCTATCTTGGAATAGGGAAGGTGTGCCTAGGACCTTCCTTGCCTGGTTACTTGGACAGCTTGGGTAATCCTTGACATGAGGAGGGAGTGGCGGGGGCCTTCTTTGCCAGGTCTCAAGGATAGCCTGGGGTACTCTTTTCTAGGATGAGGTGGCGCCTGGGATCTTCCTTCTTTTCCACGGGGTGAAAACACCTGGGCCTTCCTCGCTGGGATGCAGGGGTGCCTGGGATCTTCCTTCAGATTTATTTTTATTCTTCTCCTTTTTGGATTAATGTAAACTTTTTGTTATTCCATTTTCTCCCTCTGATAGAGTGGCTAGGTCTCTTAATGTATTGTATTTCCTTTCCCTTAGAAATTCTTATTTAGGAGGACATGTCTTTCATTTTTGTGATTTACTTCTATTTAAACTTTTAACAATTTAATAAATCTCCATACTCTTTTCTCAACCTATTTTATTGCTTGATAGTCTACAATTATACCCTTTAATACTTACAAATGCTTTAATTTTGTCATATGCTGATATAATTTTTTCTCTTTCTACCTCTTTATTTCTAGTTGCATAATTTCTACTTTGTCATTATATAGCATTTACATAATATTCTTTTACTCATGATATTCCCCTTGTTTCTGTCTTAGACTATAATTAAACATATTTAATTTTTTATCAGTTCTTTTAAATAAATGAAATTTATTTTCTAGGAGCTCCAACAAGAAGTCATATGTAATATTCTTTTGATTTATGAATGTTTAAAATTGATTTTCTCTAATTTTTAGTTTTGATAAAGAACAGTCAAATACAAAATCCTTGGTCCATACATATTGTTCGTTTTCTGAAACTGCTACTCCATGGTTACCTTGCTTTGGTGAATATTTTAACACCAATTTAACTTTTAAAAATATATGTACCCAAATACCTACCTTCTTATTTTCCTATTGAGACAATGATAATTCCTTTTTTTTAATTTTTAAAAGTCTAGTATATTTACTAGCATATTTCAGAGCAGATTGCTCTGGGTCACTTTTTCTAGGTACACAATGGTTTCTGCCAATGAGGGAAATATGATGTAATTAGCTTATGAAGACATGACAAAGATGTCTAGTTTAAACATTTTTAGTGTTTACTTCTGTTTTGACATCATTATCATTCTATTGAACAAAAATGGGAGAACTCTTGGATAAATGTCAACGGCTTTTAGGATGAAGTATTCTTAGTACACGCTCTCTTATCTGTTTTGTTCTGACCCCATAGATAACAGGGTTAAGGGCAGGGGGAACAACTACATACAAATTAGCCAGAAGGATATGAATATAACGAGGGATGCTGTGTCCAAAGCGATGTGTCATGAATGAGAAGAGAGCTGGCAGGTAGAAGGCCAACATGACACAGACGTGGGAGCCACAGGTACTGAGTGCCTTAAACCGAGCATCCCAGGATGGGAGATGGAAGACTGCCTGCAGGATTTGGACGTAGGAAAATCCAATCACAGAAAGGTCAATGTATCCCACTGAAAAAGCTATCAAACCATAGATAATATTGATCCTAATACTGGCACAAGCTAACTTTGCCAAGCCCATGTGTTCACAATAGGTATGGGGAATAATACGGACACCACAAAAAGGCAACCTCAGGATAAGGAATATGAATGGGGTTACAAATAACAAAGTTCTGAGGATGATAACTATGCCCAAGATGGCTATAACCTTGTTGGTCAGGATCATGCTATATCTTAGGGGATTGCAGATTGCAACATAGCGGTCAATGGCCATGACTGTCAACACCACAGACTCCAGACCAGTGCATATATGAATGATGTACATCTGTGTGATGCAGGCACCAAACACAATCTCCCTGAGATTGAACCAGAAAATGCCTAGCATCTTTGGGATAGTAGCTGTGGACAGGCCCAGATCAGTGCCAGCCAACATGGCCAGGAAGTAAAACATGGGCTGATGGAGACTGTGCTCAGTCTGGATTACAAACAGTACAGTGATGTTCCCCAGGAGAGCTACCATATACACTGCAAAGAAAGGGAAGCCAATCCAGATATGTGCATCTTCCAGCCCTGGAATTCCCATCAGAAGGAAGGAGGCAGGGTGGAACTCTGTTTTGTTGTAATGAAACATATTGGAAGAAAATTATTATAGCCACATTGTTTGCAGGATTTTTCTTGCTTCCAGTGAAGAAACCACGCCTTTTTTATAAAACATTGCCTATTTCTTGGAAAAACAGAAAATCCATTCTTTAATTCCATAGCACAGGAGAGGCGACCTACAGAAGGAATATGAGTTCCAGTCAAAGTGACACTCAAACTTGGAAGTGTTTGCCTCACCTACATAGAAATTGTGCAAAACATTTACCAACAATCCTGGTTCCCTATGTTTCTCTTCCCTTCAATCCTGAAGAACAAATTGCATATAACACTTAATTAATAAAATTTGTAGAATTAGTTTTAGCTAGAACAAAGTTCCAACTCTTGGATAGACAGCTGAAAATGCTTTTCCCACAGATATTTCCTTCCCTAGCCTTCTCTTTGAACTCCTTTCCTTTACTCACCTCAGGCATCATTCTTATAAAATACTGCTACAGATGTTTGGGTTGTAGGAAGCTCCTGTTTTACAAGTACATTGGCGATATGTCTTAGGATGTTTATTTCTTGTTATTTCAATAAGAAACAAGATACTGTGCGGTGGTGGTGGTGGTGGTGGTGGTGTGTGTGTGTGTGTGTGTGTGTGTCTAAAATATCACTATGCTACAGCATTAAGATTGAGGGGGAGAGGATACAACCAGTCTGATGGGGGAGGAACTTGGTGAATATTTGAAAAATATACCAGGGGGATTAGAAAGGTGATACATGGGAGGGAATTCAATGGAAGTTGGGGACAGCTGATGTTTAGGTCTGAGTCAAGAAATGGAGTTAATAAACTTATGCCGATAAGGAAATTTTTATATCATTCCAACAATCCAGTGTGCCATCCTAGAGCTATCAAACACCATGACTCATTGTGTTAAGTTTCCTTTCCTAAACAAATAAACATTCTACACTCCCAAATAGTTTACAGAATCATTTCAAACCATAGTGCTTTATATTTTATTAACTTATTTTCCGTTTTTCCTCAAGTATTTGGACAAACCCATAAATACGGATTATCCCATTATGTTATCTTGACCGTGGCAGTGCTTATAGTTCTAGCTTTTTCAAAATAAGAACAATGCAAGGTCAAACTTTTCTAAATAAGGGAAGGTCTATAGTTTGTATTTATTGATGGTGTCATTAGAGTTAGAGTTAATAGTGATGGGTGAGAATATATCTAAATTGGCAGCAGACTTGTTAAATTACAACAGTTGAATCTGTCAGTTGTGCCCTGGGGTTGAGTCAGAATGAACTTCATGGTAATTTATCTTGTTAGACCCCATTTACAAAGAAGTCAAACACAGATCAGGTCAGTTAAGTAACTTTCCCAAAATACTCAAAATATCTCTCTGAATCAATAACTGATCATTTTTACGAGTCATTTAAAAATATGTAACCCCCCTCCAATCAAAACCAAACCAAGCAAAATCAAATCCACTGCTGTTGATTCCACTTCATAGCAAATCATGTGGCAGAATTGTTTTGTAGAGTTTTCTTTAGGGGAGTAGACTCCCAACTCCCTCTTCTGGGGCTACTGGGTGGGTTTGAACCACCAATTTTTGATTAGCAGTTTAATGTTAAACTTCTGTGCTACCAGGGCTCCTTTCTCTCTTGCTACTTACCTTGAAAACGGTCCTATCTAACAAGGACTTTGACTGAGTCAGTGGAACTCCTAAGTTTAAAGGATCTCTTTAGTTATGTGCAGCATAGCCAGGAGATGATTCACCTACCTCTGCCCAGCATAGAGAAAAAAAATTGTCTAGAGCTGGATACCACAGACGGAAACCTGCATGTAAATTCTTAATAGTCATGGCCAAAGATTTATATCAGAGCTGTAAACTCCTGGGAGGGCACCTCTAGCCGCACAGTGTGCTCTGTTTCTTAACTTGGGGACTTTGATACTCCAGAGGCTAGAGCTCTATACTTTCTGGTCAAAGATACTCTCTGGTTTCAAATGACCTTTGTGCATCCTCTCAGGGAGTTTTCTCTTCGAGCAAGTTCTATGAGTCTAGTCCTTTAGAGCCATCCTGAGCTCTCCCACTAGCACTTTAAATCTCAATATAATACCACATGAATGGTTATTTTGGGCAGCAAGGCAGTGATGACAGGGAAAGATCACTATAGGAAACACACCAGAGTTCCCTCAAAGTCAGTTTAGAACATCTAGTATATTCAGCCAGAATTCTCATTTAAATCTTCAGACCCTGAGCTATTAACTATTGTTAAGAATAACAAGATGATTTTGTGGAATGTATAGTACCTCTTACACTATATATTTCTATATTATATATAATTATACAAACATAAAAATAATTGTTTATGTAAATATACTTATATGAACATAATTAAATTGCATATGTAAAGGATATGTATATTCATAGGAACATATTAATTAAAAATATGGATTTTTATCCACTTGCCTCTTCTGTGATTTTGGTCTATTTAATTTGCTGTGCAAGCCCTGGTTTGCATTTGGCAAAATGAGAACAATTATCTCTACTTGTAGTGTGGTTGTAATGAAATGACAAGATAATGCCTAGACAATGCATTTGTTTACCAGAGGTTATTTGGTAAATAAATGCTGGATGTTACTATTTGCTGCCATTCTGTCCTGTGATTCAATATCTCTAATACACACATTGAAAATACTCTTACCTCTGTGAACCTCATATTACTCCTTTTTCCCCCATAAAAGTGATGAAAGTAGCAATTAACCTTTCATGTGGTTTTCCTCAAGATTAAATATAAGACATTTGAATAGAATAATAGTATTTGACAATTTATTAAAATTGACATTAATTTTTTATGAATAGACTGTGTTTTTTGGTGTTGTGTCTGAGTTGAAAAGTGCAAGTACTTTTTAGTTCACTAGATTGCTCACATGAATTTCTTGGTTAGATGGCAGTGGTTTATTTGTAAAAGAAATGTATTTGACTTGAACACTAGATGTCAGTAATGCTAAAAAAAAATCAAAATTCACTGCCATTGAGTCAATTTGTACTCCTCTAGGACAGAGTAGAAATGCCTTGTGTGTTACACTGAGACTGAAGGAACAAGTGTCATCTTTCTCCCGTCTAGCAGCGGGTGATTTTGAACTCCTGACCTTGGGATTAGCAGTCCAGCGCAAAACTACTGCACAACCAGATCTCATTAGTAATGTTTCAATGACAAGCAAAGGTTGTTTTTCCCAATTTTTAATGAACACTTACTATGAGCTAGACAACATATTAATTGGTGACTCAATAAATATAAGTGAAATATGGAAAGTTTGATTACTATTTGGGAATTATAGATAGTTTGTTATATCAAGGTTATATCAGATGTTTCTTGAACAAATAAGAAAGGTCTAGTACGCACTCAGGTGGTGCAGTGTTTTACATGTTGGGCTCCTAACTACAAAATCAGCAGTTCAAATCATCAAGAACATCATTTGTTCTTCAGTGGAACGATGACATTTCTGTTCCAGTAAAGATGTACAGCCTCAGAAATCTATAGGGATAGTTCTACTCTGTCCTGTAGGGTTGTTATGAGGTGGAATTAACTTGATGGCAGTGGGTTTGGGTAAGTGCTGTAGTAAACCCAACAAACAACTAATTTTCAAGATGTGTCAAGTATATTTTTATTTGCATAGCCCCAAGATTAATCACCAGCTCCTCTTCAGAGATCCTTGATTTCTTTTATTATGAAAAATGTGATGGATAAAAAGTGACTCTTCTTGATCATTTGAAACATCTACAAAATTTGATGTCATACTATATGTTGTCATGTCTGTTTTGGAATTGCAATGTTAATTTTAGAAAGTTAAATGTTTTCAATAGAAATGAATGTTATAAAACATCAAATAATATCTCTTGTGTATTGTTCATATCTTCATTTTATGTTGGGCCTCAGGAAGAGTTTCCCTTAAAATTATGAGATTTTTATGTTGGATTATCTAAGAATGCACCCATAGAACATCCAGGGTGCTTAAGAGATTGCTTTTTTTAAAAAAAATTTTTGTCCTTGATACAAACTCACTAGATCTCATATTGTATTACTTCAGTGATTTTTTTGACTAACTCTTGGGATGCCTAGAAAGAGTAAAAAGAAATTCTAATCTATTAAAAAAGGATTCTGGAAACTAAAGAAAGGGAAAATATCTGATATCACTGATTTGATTCCAAAATAATTCTATAGAATACCAATTGAGAATATGTAAAAATATTGGCCTTCAAATTTTAATTTATGTATAATTGTCCATAATTACCAGTCCTATTTCCTTTATGGTTTCTCTACACCTTGCCTACATGTCTACAGTGGTTTAGGACCCTGGCATGAGTTTGTTAATACATCTTCCGGCACCTTGGCTTTTATAACCAATAAGAGTCCTACTTTACTTTCTATAATAATATATGATACATTATGTATGAAATAATTTATACAAGTCCACATGAAAGGACTTCAAAAAGTTTTTGAAAAATTGAATTAAAGATAATGGTGCTTTCCCCAGACACTTGTTGACACCCCCTCCCCTCCGCTCCCCACTTTGTGTCTGTGTACGTGTATGAGACTTGGCTTAAAATCAGAAAAGGATTGTACCAGTTTTCATAATTTCACCATACTTATTCAATTTGTTGCTGAGCTTATAATCAGAGACACTGACTATGAAGATGATGGCAACAATACAAGAAGGCTCATTGCAATCAGCAATATGCAGATGGCATAATTTTTCATTCTGAGAGCCAAGAGGACTTGATGCACTTACTAATGAGCATTAAATAATCAAGGACTGTGGTCATCAGGGTGGAATGTACTTTACCCTAAAGACAACAAATATCTTCACAACTGGACCAATAAGCAACATCATGATAAACAGAGAAACTATCAAACTTGTCAAGGATCTCATTTTACTTGCATCAATAATCAGCACCTACTGAGAAGCAGCAGTTAACAAATCAAATGCTGTATTGCACTATACCAATGTGCAATGAAAGACCTCCTTAAAGTGTTACG